ACAACTTTATCAAAAAAAGTATTATATGAAACAATTTCACAAGATTAAACAATTTCATGAAAAAATTTCATAAGATTAAACAATGAAATCGACAGATGAAGGTGGTTTGCACGGTTTACACAAATGAGGGCGGTTTTCATATGATCACTCATATATATATATATATATATATATATATATATAGTTTGGTTCACATGAGACCAAGAGTTTTTCATGAGACCCGTAAGACCAAGGGTTTTCGTGAGACCCATAAAACCAATTTATGTTCATTGATCAACTTTATAAGCTAATAATATAAGAGTCTAAAGTTGTACTGTGACAATTTTGTGATTATTGAGAAGTCGTGACGTTTATGAATGTTCAGATTGTCAGATTATAGATCTAATCTAATGGTTGAGAATTTGTCTTAAGGGTCTCACAAAAAACCCTTGGTCTCACATGATCCCAAGTCTATATATATAATTATTATTTAATGATATATTAAAAGAACAACCGAGGATAATAAAATGACTTCATATCAAATGTAATATTTATATTTATTAGTTTAATATATAATATGTGATCATCGACACATTTAGCTTCAATATTTTTTTAATAAATTTATCACCAATACAACAGATGTCGAACACTAGTTTAAGATAATTACCAAACCAATATAATTCTTCATTTTAATAATGATAAATAATTTGTGTCATTTATGCAACCACATAAATATAACAAAATTTATATTGATGGATGCTATTTGATTTTATAACTTTTATATATTTTTTAATAATTTTGGTTCATATAAAATATTATTTACATATTTTTAGTTGACTTTCTGATCAAAAAATCATTTTTTTTCCAAGTCGACTCCGTTTTTTAGTGAAACGTGAACTGAAATGAATATTATGTAAACACGACTTTTGTAACGCTTGCATTTGCCGCGATGCTTGGGTGGGGCCCGTCTATCAAATCTAATTACGTTTTTGTCCTTGTGTTTGGTATTTATTATCAAGTCTTGCTTGTAGTTTACAGTAATTACACTTTAATCAATTTGATTGCCATTTTATTATCTGGACCCTCCAACTAATTTTCGTTAAAAATCCCCGTTAACTTAAGGGTATATTGGTACTTTTTATCATTTATTTGATTTTCTTTATTAAGAATTAAACAAACATATTATTATAATATTTATTATACGTAACAATAATATAATAAGAATATTCTCTCCTATCTTTACCATTTTAGGGGTCGTTGATCAAATACTTACCCGGTAAGCACTTACCGGTTGTCAAAGACCTTCCAGCCTAGTGGTAAAGGCTTGGGCATGGCATAGTCATGAACCCGAGTTCGAGCCCTGGGAGTGGAATGTTGGCGACATTTAAGTGGGGCCATGTTTAGCCTCCAAATTTGCCGGGGATTAGTCGGGCTTTGGCCCGGACACCCTTACAAAAAAAAAAAAAAAGCACTTATCGGTTAAATTTAACACTATCATTTACTTACCAGGTAAGATTTTAGTCCACCAAAACGGTATCATATGCAACCATTTACCCGGTAAGCGCTTACCGTGGTAAGAGTCATCACCTTCACTTACCGGGTAAAACTCTTGGTCCTTGTGTCCCTCTTACCGGGTAAGATTCTTGGTTCTTACCATGTTCATCCGGTAAGGTAATGTGGCTTGATGTTCACTTACCCGAGTAAACATTTGGTAAACAATCCCTTATTCTTGTTTGTAGTACCAGCAATCTCATTCTTCATCTTCTTCAATGAATCTTGATGAAAATTAAAAGTAACGCTTAGCAAAACATAAATTATACCTATTTATTATAAAAACTGTGTACAAATCCTAAAATCAAAAACTAAAATAAAACCCTAAAATCAAAAGTAAAACAAACTATCTCGAAAACAAACCAACATGTTGGATGAAGAAGAAGATCCAAATTTATTAGAGTGGTAGAATCCATCCATTGAACAAACAAACTATATATCTGATATGGATCTACTTCTGGAGAGGAATCTAGATCTTTGAATCGATTTGTTGAATAAATAAAGAACAAATCTTCGAACTAGACCCATATCGAGGATGGAAGTATAAGCAAGTGGTGGTTGATATGTGACTTCTATGACACCACAAGGTCGATAACTTAGTGCACAAAGTCCTTTCCATTTTTAGTCTTCTTACTTTTTTTTATACTCAGGTTCGTTTGGACTTCAGGCACCTATTTAGAATCCAACCATTGTTGTTTATTCACGGTCTTCGATGAAGGGGGTGGGGTGTCACACCGTGAAGGAAAATTGGCAGTGTGTGGTAGGCATGGCAACGGGGCTGGGATGGGGCGGGTTTTGTAATCCCTGGCCCCGGCCCCGGTTTGTACTAACATCCCCCGGCCCCGGTCCCCGGCGGGTATGAAGATTATTATTCCGTCCCCGATCAAATCTCTAGTAATCCCCGGTCAAAAATCGGTAAAACCCCGGTTAAACCCCGTAAATGGTATCATTTATTTTGATTCTATCGGGGATCCCCGGCCCCGTCCCCGATTTGTGTCTACCGGGGATCCCCAGTCCCGGGACCCGTTTTAGCGGGGAATCCCCGTCCCCGTTCGGGTCGAGTGAACCGGGTTCCCCATCGGGTCGGGGCAAATCACCATCCCTAGTGTGTGGGTATATATATATATATATATATAGATATATAAAGTAAAAATTAATAATAATATATTTATTTAATGTTTAAGAAATGATAAAAGGACCAAAATATCCGAGTTAACAGATTTTTTAACAAAAGTTAATTAGAGAGACAACTACATGGACCAAAAGTGTAATTAATTTTAAAACAACAGCCAAATTTAACAGTAGATGACAACTACATGGATCAAAAGTGTAAGTTACACCAATTCCATGATTTTATGATTTTCCCATTTTCGCAGGCTCTAGATTCTCTGGGCGTGGAAACCCTGAGCCATCACTACCAAACGCTCCACACGTTTCTTACCTTTTCCTTGCCATTCTCGCAATATATCATCGCTGATTCGAAATACACATAGTAGAATAAACAAAACCCTTGTTCCGTCCGCCTCTCTCTCTCTCTCCCGGAAAAGTACACCGTTACGCAGGTCAACTGTGCCTGTCGCCGATCACCTTTTTTGTTTCTCTCTCTGCACTTTCCTTTTTACTTTTTTTTTTGACGATTTAACAACTACGATTCGGATTTAAGATCGATCGGCGATTGAAGAACGAGCTACTGCTTCTCCTTCTTATAATCTTCCTAACTCAGGTATTTTTAAACAGAGTTGTGCCAATTGTGTTATCTGTTTGATGTATGTGATTTTGTGTTCTGGTTGCTTTCAACTCATGCTTGAGGATTTTTAGTTGTTTTGCTCTTGTTGACTAAAATGTGTACTTTTAGATCTGTTTTTCTTTTTCTTGTTAATCCGATAATGGCGGATTAGTTTGCAGTTTCGAGTTTCTTGTCTAGATTCTGAGTAGTTCTACGGCTTTATTATGCTGTTATGCTCGATCTGATCTGTTTCGGCATTTAGTGACAATATGTATGGTATGATTTAGTGGTGAATTCAATCTTCGAATCAATAGAGATTTCTAATAAGTTTAAGTAAAACTCGATGATTGGATCAATTTTGTGTTTATAACGATATGCATAAACAGATTGATATTGATAAATTAAGTTCGAAACTCTGACATAAGTAGTCTGTGTAATTTTTTTAATAGGAAAACCAGGCGAAGATATCATATTCTTTTTATCGTATGTTTCAATCGAACAATCTATCAATATATACTTAAAGATTCTCACAACATAACAAATTTGTGATGGATTCAATGTAATGAAAATTATGTAATTGATATAATTTGAAAATATTAAATACTTAGGGCATGTTTGGTGACAGGTATTAAATAGTAATTAATAAAATTGAAAATAAAAAAAAATTGTTTGATTTCCTATAATATAACGGGCTCATTCCCTTATAAGTCCAAAATTTCAATTTTGGTTATTCCCTTTTTCAATCCTAGTCATTTTCATTTTCATTTTGATTCCTCTATCTGAGTCAAACAAGACCCTTCGTTAAATCTATTGAAGTATTAGTTAAAAAAGGTATAAATTACATCAAAAATAAAACTAAATTTACTTTTTATTTCTATATTGGAAATCAATTTTTTAAGCCTTAGTTTGCTCTCATATAAAAGACATGCATGCTTAAATTCATGTTTTCCAAACATGAGATTTTTTATTTTGAAAATTGGTTTTTTCAAAAGTAGTTACAAATGCAAGGCTGGTTGATGAAACCTACCCCTAGAAATTCATAAATGTCTAGTTATCTCTCTTATCTTTCTTATTAAACATATTTGATGACCCAAAGGGATCCCTTTTATCTCTAAAAATCAATATTCTAACTTATTTTATTAGATAAAATTGTAGTTTATCAAAAAAAAAAAAAATGGTACGTTACAATTAGAAGGTAAATGCTTGCCGGTTAAGAGTTATCAAACTTACTTACTAGACTAGACTAGACTAGACTAGACTAGACTCTGTACCCTTATCATCGTTTTAACTGAACAAGATTTTATATCTTTGTCATTTTCATCTGATAAAGTAAATGACCCGGTAAGTACTTACATTTATAAGAATTTAAACGGCACCTAAGTTTCAAAACGTGAAAAATTAAAGTATACTGTTAGGCTGCCTAAAAGAAAATATATGTAGTTAATAAGCAAGGCGGTTTGTTATTTTTTAATTGCCTTTACGAGCGGTTTACCTATTAATAGTGAAGTAATTAGAGAGCAAAATGTTAAGGTATTTGCTCATTTATGAAAAAAATAAGAAGAAACATTAATAAAACAAAAACTTGTTATTATATGTTTGGTGGGACGATTAGATCAGGACATGACATGATTGAGTTGGACAAAAAATGTAGTTTTTTGTCACATCAAAGTAGGTGGAATAAAAATTAGGAAGATGGAACAAAATATGTAATGTATTGAACTTGTAACTATCCATGTTAAACTAAAATCATAAAACATTTCACAATTCTTTTACTGTCTATATCATTCTTGCCAGTCTTGTCCCGTTCCATTCCCTATCATCCTATTATTCATATACCAAACATACCATATTAAAGATCGATTATAACTAACAACACTTTAATCGTTAACCTATGCACATGCTTATGTCTTTTAATTTTACATTTTCTATGGTTTGGTTTATAAGCAATAGAAAAAACCTTGTTCAGTAAAGATACTTTATGTTAGAGATAAATTACGTGTGAAATTGGTGTGATTCATGTGACTTTCGTCATTACCTACACTAGTGGGTAATATCGCCCACACACCTTTCCGTTGATTGTTGGTGCAAAAACCACATATGATTTAATCGTTTCATGTTCTTTTGTTTGGTTTATATTCTCGTTTTTGACCTCCATATTTCTCTATTATATTTATTATAAATCAAATTTGTGTAATAAATGCTAATCGTAAATTTGCCATGTTATTGTTGTCTCACATAACAACATCATGAGTTAGCCACCTCCAATCCTGACATAAAGGGACACACACAAATACACATGTAAAAATATGTATTTAATACCATTATTTTCTTTCCAACCACATTACCACACATTATATATTTAGTATTTTAATAACAAAATAAAATAAAATTACTCAAATCATGAACTAAATGCTCTATCTCTCTATATACATATATATTTCTATAAGCATTTGAAAAAAATAAATTAAAAACCATTTTTTATGTATGAAGTATTGTTTATTTATGCATATTACTTAAAATTTAAGATTACAAGTAAATTGTGTCAAGTACAACTAGTTAAAGCTTCATGCTTGAATTCGTGTAGCTAACTGTAGATAAACATAATCAAATAGAGGATAAACATATCATTTTAAATATAAAAATTTTAAAATATAATTAGGATAATTATTGAGTTTTAACAAATACTTAATTATCATCTTTATAAAAATTACATTATTAAACCAAAAACCAAAAAAAATGAATTAAAAAAATACACAAAAAATGAGAAATTTTAAATAGTTAGTTTGATATTAGTATTAATAAATTTTTTTAATTTTTTTATGATATATCTTCATATTTATATTTTTGTTCAAAAATAAAAACATTATCATTTTCTTAAAACCACATAAAACTGTATTATAACATTGATTGAGACAAAAAAATCGAAACATTAAAATTGAGATGTATTTTGCTGTATTTGTGCGAGTACCCTACTAATATATCTATACTATATTATAATTTTTTTAACAAAAACTCTTAAAAATCATTTTTATGCATAAAATATTGTTTATTGATACATATTACATAAAATTCAAGATTACAAGTAAATTTTGTATAAATACAACTTATTAAAACTTCATTTTTGAATTTGTGTAACTAACTATAGCTAAACATAATCAAATACGACTAGACATCTTATTTTGAAATATAAAAAAAACTCAAAATTTTATTAGGATAATTATTGGTTAATAACAAAATAATTAATTGTTATCTTTATAAAAAATTATATTAAACGATAAATAAATTACTTCGTGAATTAATCTAAATTAAATTACAAATAAAATATTAAATAAAAAAATTATACAAAAAACGACAACTTTAAATAGTAAAATTGATACTAATATTGATATATATTTTTTTGCCAAATTTTTATGATATCTTTAAATTTATATTTTATTAAAAAATAAAGACATTCACTTTCTCAAAGCCACTAAAAACCGTAATATATCGACAAAGATAAATAATAAAACGAAACACTAAAATTGAGATATATCTCGCTATATTATACGAGCACCCTTCTATATAACAAATCCAAATCCTAATCATTCGGGTTCTCGTCAAGCAAGTGCCGAACTATTCTCTATTATAAAATATTTGACAAAACTCTTAAAAAACATTTTTTTATGCATGAAGTACTGTTTATTGATGCATATTACTTAAAATTCAAAATTACAAATAAACTGTGCATATATACAACTTATTATTAAAACTTCATGTTTGAATGCGTATAACTAACTGCAGATAAACATAGTTAAATATAAGATAAACATTTCATTTTTAAATATAAAAAATCTAAAATGTAATTAGGATAATCATTGAATTATAACAAAAAGACTTAATTATTATCCTTATAAAAAGTTATATTATTAAATCAAAAATAAATTACTTCGTTATTATATCTAAATTAAATTATAATAAAAAAATTGAATTAAATAAACTAAAAGGTTACTCGTGCAATGCAACGAGATATATCTTGATTTTAATGTTTAGTTTTTTTGTCAATTTAAAATTTCTCTGTTTTTTTGTGTAATTTCTTTAATTCATTTTTTTATTTAATAATATAACTTCTTATAAGGATAATAATTAAGTATTTTGTTAGAATTCAATAATTATCCGAATTATATTTTATATTTTTTATATTTAAAATAAGATGTTTATCCTTTATTTGATTATGTTTATCTCTAGTTAGTTACACGAATTTAAACATGAAGCTTTAATCAATTGTACTTACGCACAACTTACTTGTAATCTTGAATTTTAAGTAATATGCATCAATAAATAATACTTAATGCATAAAAATAGTTTTTAAGAGTTTTTGTCAAATTGTTTATAATATAGTATAGATAACACAAATAACAATAACTTTTAAATAGTTAATTTGATAGTAATCTTGATATGTTCATTTTCGAAATTTTATGATATCTTCAAATTTATATTTTATTCAGAAATAAAAGCATTATCTCTTTCTCAAAACCACATAAAAACTGTATTATAACATCTACATAGAAGGAATAAAACAAAACATTAAAATCGAGATATATTTCATTACATTATACTAGTACTCTTCTAATATATATATATATATATATATATGTATATGTCATATTTTCAAGATATAAGCAATCTGTTTGATAGGATATAAATTATATTTTAATAATTATTTAATTTAAATATATAACAGGTATAAAACAGAAGAACTTCTATTTTATTTTAATTGCATGGCCGTTTTAATATTCAGACATCCCCACGAAACCACTTGTATTTGGATGGGACCAGCTCCAAGTCCAGTTTCAAAATAAATATACACAAACTCATATATATCTAATTGTCTTCTATCTTTTATGTTATTTATTGCAAAGAACCTCTTTCTTTGACTGTTGTATTATATTTATTTCCATCAACACTTTATTTTTTCGTCTTTTTTGTTGTAGTTATTTTAATATTATCACACAGCATGAATAAATCAACCATGCTTTTTATCTGGTCATAAATGTATATAATAAATATTACATTGTTAGAATATTCGTCTACTTTTAATATCTTATATATTCCAAAGATCATCTAAAAATCTAAATCATAATATTCCAACAAAAAGTTAAACTTTGAAATACCAAATGTAATAAGTTTATATGTTTCTAAAAATTATTAGCAAAGAGCAATCGAAATTTAACAATGTCTTGACTGCAAATTTACTTCTAAGTATCTTACTCTTCATATATTCTCTTCCCACTTATTGCTACTTTTGCTCAGATTTTGTTTGGGTTGTATAGTTTATATTATAATATGTGAATTCATGGTTTTTTATGCAATAAGTCCACCTTTTTGCTAAGAATTGCCCTAGATATGCACAAGGACTAGTTAAAGACCGATCCTTGGACGTGGTCACGCCAAGCTCGATCCAACAATGGCATACTGGTCATAGTCTTGAAATTTGGGCTTGATCCGGTTATTTGATCCTTAACTAGTCTTATTTGATTTTATATTGGAATATAGTATGAGCATACACATACTTATATGTAATACTTCCATAAATGTCTTTGCACTTTTTTTTTCTCTCGTTATACTAGATCCATTAACCCGAGATTAGACCGACCCTTGCAATAGCCGGCCCTCGTAGGATTGGTCAGACTTTTGGGCTTGGACCAGGCAGCATACCGGTCCTAGACTCCTAGTTGCACTTGTCATGGGCCACTTTTGGTCATTAGGCCCATCTGTGTGATGCATTGCATTTGCAGGGCTCTTTTGTATTATTTTCTAAAAATCTGCCTATTTTTTGATGATTTCCTACGAAAGTGCTGGTTTTGTAAAATATAAGTCAAAAAGTCAAAAAATAGTAGTTTGCAACATAAATGGTAAACCTCACTTTCTATTTTATTCTTGTCACGGCCACCTCAATAAGAATTTCAATAAAATTCAACAAAATATAGATTATTAATTTTAATTTTTTTAATATTAATATTTATATTAATTTGGTTACATATTTTGTTAACATATTTGATAAACATAAACACGATCTTATACTACAGTTAAAAAAAGTACAAGATTTCATAAATATTCATCTTAATGAAAAGTAACACTAAATAATCTATACTATATTATAAATCATTTGATAAAAACTCTTAAAAACACTTTTTATGCATAAAGTACTGTTTATTAATGCATGTTACTTAAAACTCAAAATTACAAGTAGATTGTGCGTAAGTACAACTTATCAAAGCTCCATATCTGAATTCGTGTAAGTAACTGGAGATAAACATAATTAAATACAAGATAAACATCTCATTTTGAATATAAAAAATCTAAAATATAATTAGGATAATCATTGAGTTCTAACATAATACTTAATTATTATCTTTATAAAATGTTATATTATTAAACTAAAAATAAATTATTTTATTATTATACTTAAATTAAATTATAATTAAAAAATAAATTAAAGAAATTACATAAAAATGAGAACTTTTAAAAACACATAAAATCATATTGTAACATCGACAGAGACAAAAAATAAAATAAAACATTAAAATCGAGATGTATCTCGCTGCATTGCGCGAGTTCCCTTCTAGCATATAATAATATAGACCGCTCATAATCTCGATTCGACCAACTATGTTCAACCAAGTCGGCATATAGTTAATGATGAACTTTATTTGAACAAATCTTTGAATTTCTTTCAATATATAAATTTTTTGGAATTCATAAATGAAATCTTGAAATATTTACATCCAACTATCTACTTCATAATTGATCACTTGTAATTTATATATTTAAAATTATTTAAAAAATAATCTAAACATAATAATAAAACAAGGCATGCGTATCCTTTGTATGTGAATAATTAAATAAATAAATTTATTTCTCTAAAAAAATTAAAATTATTGAAACAAAATACAAAAACTTATATAAAAATTACAAGAAAAATGAAAGAAAATTAATAAATATAATTTTTTTTTGTAATTATTAATTTATATATTTTTTTTCAATTTCAATTTATATTTTTACAAATATGGGTAAGAAATTTGTTAAAAGAAAATAAAATCATAAAAGATAATTAACACTAGAACTCAAGTTCTTGTTCAAAGACTCAATTCTTATTAAAAAAAATTAATTGAACAACAACCTCCGTTGCATTGACAAAAACTTCTATTATGAATCGTTTTTAATATACAAAAAGATAATGTTAACATTATAGGTATGATTTATGATTATTAAAATATATCCGATATAAGAAGTCATATACCAACCACCACAAAAATAATAAAACAAACTAATGCTGGTTACATCGCATTTTCTCTCTCCATGTCCTATGATAGTCCCATATCATTCACATTTATGACTAAAATGTGACGTTTCCTTTTTCCTATGATTAGCTTTCAAGAAGAATTGAACCATTTGGCGCCACATTCATAATTATGATTGTGAAACTAGTTTGATATCAAGAGTTACTATCAACTGTCTTCATATTGGTAGCGTTGTGTTTTTTGATCCGCTAACTTCTTAAGACAATATTGATTTAGTTTTCAATATCCAATTTCTTTCCTATCGTTGGTCAACAAATCGTGCTAAAAACTTTAATATGTTCCAGATAGAGTGATATTGTAGTTCTCTCGGTTGCTCTGAAAGTTAGCTAACTGGTCTCTCATTGTGGCTTAGAGCTTGTTTGTTTTTCCAAAATTACATCTTGATACCTCTAAAGTCTGATTCGTTCAGACGTTTGGGTATTAAGAGCGTTTGTTTTATTTCTGAAATAAGAGCTTAAAAGTTCTAAATGTCCTTTGAAATTTTAAGTGATAAACGTGTCCCTTACTACCTCTTGATATTAATCCGCCCTCTATCAAGTGGTTCATTTAGGGCCGGAAAAGATTTGTTAGTAAAAACTATTTATCTTTTACACTTTTGTAAAAAATTATTTATCTTTTATATTTTTGCACTAGTTTGACCAATTCAGATTTCAGACTTTATAAGTAAAAACAAACATTCGTAATTTTACTGATTCAGATTTCAGACTTCAAGACCACCTCTTATAAATCAGAAGTGAAATCAAACTTCAGACTTCAGCACCTCTTAATAAAACAAACTCCACCTTAGTCTTTCGTTTGGTTATTTTGCTATCTTTTTTTTTCGGCTCGTTGGCTTGTGTTTAGGCGTTGTTTCCTTTTTTTTACGCCTTGTAGAAATGTCTCTCTTGTTCTTTGTCTCTAATAAAATTGTTGGCCTTTCAAAACGAAGTAAGGGGCTACCAATTTTTTTATCAAGTCACGTATGAATAAATTTGTCTATCTGGATAAATGGTTGATGTTGTTTACTTTTTTTATCTGAACCAATAGTCTGAAATCTGAATAACATAAATGACCGATTTACCCCCCAATATTAATTATTTGAACATCAAAACAAAAAATCATAAAGAGGCCGAAGATGAGAGTCTCATATGGGAAGGAGGCGGTGCTTTAAATAAGGGGTAGGTGTGTCATTTTTGTGGCTGAAGGGGACAACACACAATTTATATCTGTGCAATTAAGTCATGTTCTGTGCGAATAAGCCGTAAGTAAACATCCAAATGAGCTGTGCGAATAAACCAGATAGACCAATAAGCCTAATTAAGCTGCAAGTAAACAACCCCTAAGTCTCGGAAAGAAATTAATAAATAAAAATGCATTTAATCTACCCGCACTTAAAAAGCAATATTCCTAGTCCTATTATGCTTGCATTCACTAATATAGAGTAAGGTCTTTTACACAATTTTGGGATAATTTTAACCTTGAAAAACCCATGTCTGTTGTAGCAATGCGCAATGCAACCTACAAATGGAGTACTTTTTATCTCTTATGTATTATATAACAAAGGTTTTGATGTCAAATTTGTGATCCTAGATCGGCAAGAATGACAAACATGTGGCGAAGATGGCGTGGTCAGGACCAACACGAAAGCGAGCCCTTGGATCATGAGAAGATGGTACATACCTTACAAGATTCTTAATCATTCTGACCGTTTAATCATCTTACAGAAATCATCCGGCATTTACCAAACAACCACTAATTTAGCAGTTTGTATCTCAAAGTGTCCTAATTGACTTGAAATTGCTGTTAATACAAGCAGATCAAAGACCTTAGAGCTGCTATGGGACCGCTCTCTGGGCACGCCTTAAAGTTCTGTACCGATGCATGCCTAAGGAGGTACTTGGTAGCTCGAAACTGGAATCTTGAGAAAGCCAAGAAGATGTTGGAGGAGACGCTTGAATGGAGATCGAACTACAAGCCTGAGGAAATTCGTTGGGTTAGTAATAAAACTCATATTTCTGTGTGCATGTCGATTTGATCGTATAAAAATATATATGTGTTTTAACATTATTCTAGCATTGACAGCATGAAGTAGCAAATGAAGGCGAAACTGGTAAAGTCTCGAGAGCAAATTTTGTTGATCGATGTGGAAGGCCCGTCCTCATTATGAGACCTGGGAAGCAGGTTTGTAGTTGTATCTCATGCGCGATTCAAATATAAATTTTGTTAGTGATGAAAAAGGGACGCTTTCTTAGAGCATTTCCAACATTTTCTTCATAATTTTTTCAAAATAGAGAAGGAGAAGTCAAAATCTCAAAAGAAAATTATATCCAAATTAAACAAATTCTCCACATTTGCAGATTTTTCTCTTACTTTCTCCATTTTTGAGAAAGTTTTGGAGGATACGTTGGAACAAGAAAAATATATTAACACTCCAAAATTTTCATTTTTTCTATTTTTGAGAATATGTTACATATGCTCTTAGACGCCACTTATCATGTCCCTAAAAGATGAAGGCGATAACCAAAAGGCCATTGTCGGACTCTCGACACTCTAGGACATCTTTGTCCTTCTAACACCTTGTTGACACGCCGAGACATCTTTGACCTTCTAGCATTGATGCGGTTGGAGGGGTGTTCGTTTGAATCCCAGATCTACTAGATTTGGACAGTTTCTCGTCGATATATGTTGAGTTCTTTTGGAGGGTTTGCACATATTCTCACATTAATATTATTATAAATATTGAATTCTATCCAAGGCTAAAGAGTGCTTAAAAGACTAATTGTGAGGATATATAGAACCTCTTTGAATCTCATTATAAAAACAACATTTTTAGAGAAAAGGGAGTTCGTGTGTGTGTGTATATATATATATAGGAGCGATCAAGTGAAAACCACTTCAATTTATAAAAACCGTAAAAACTACTCTCATCCATCGTTAATCTTATGAATTTTTTTCATGAAATTGTTAATCTTGTGAA